CGGCAAAGATCTACATTAATCCATTTGAGATGAGGGCGTGTGGGCCCGTATCAGCCCGGAACCCAATTTCGTCTAGAAACTTCTGAGCCATTTCTCACTTGGGCCTTTTTTTCTAACTTGCCATGGTCCTTTTATAACAGTATTGTGTCACTGATCTTGTTAAAACGTGACATCGCAGTGGTTTTTAAATTAACATTTGTAATTCTGGGGTTACTTTTTTTATTTTACTGAATAACCGTACCCCCGAGGGATTATTTTTTGTCGGGGTAATTCAGATTTTATCAACTTAACTGATAAACAATTCATAACCGTCTTCATCCCTCGCTTAAGCCAAGGTTCACTTATCTTCAACAAAAGAGAAAACAGTCCGATAGGCTGCGTAATAAACATAAGGTTGTTACAAAAGTAAGATACAATGTTAATTATTGCAAATTAATAAAATTGTTCTAGTTTGATATACTGTTTTACTAACAAATTACAGCCTTATGAGTTGTTTTTCACCAATGCACTTCATATTTAACATCACATTCTAGCCTCCATTCTACCTCTCATAAAATGGTTTGTTACATGATGATATACAATGGTAATTACCACATTAGATTAATGTAATTATTATACTTTGATGTACAAGTACTGTACAATGTCACCTACTAACAAATTACAGCCTTATGAGTTGTTTTTAACAGATGAGGACTACATTAGACAACACATTCTAGCTGCCACACCACCACCTCTAACCAGGTGTGGTTATTTTTCATATACAATGTTAATTAACAGACAACCCTTTCCATACAATGTTACTAACTATAAAATTATACATTATGCAATCTGTGCCTCTATTAGTTTACATAACCTTGGACTCACTCTACCCCCTGTTTTGAAATATAGCATAAATCAGATACCTGTGTACTTCCGACTCCCAAAATACCCTATCACTCACAAAAAATATTAAAATTAACATCCCACAGTGTGTATACGCCAAAGAATTCTTAGAGCTGTTAAACAAACTACTCAAACAAGCTACCACACACAACTTTTTGCTATACAGATGGGTCCAAATCCCCTTCAGGAATGGGAGCCAGGTAGTTGTGACAGTAAGAAATACATATTCTAACTCTCAAATTTATTTAGCAGTTATACTGCGGAGCTGATTGCCATAAGCAAATGTCTAACCATAGTAGTATCATCATATGATAAAAGAGCCATATGCACCGATTCACTTCAGCACTTTTATCACTAAAAAAATAAATTTACTGATAAACTATCCATTCAAAACATACTTTTTTCTCTCAGACAACTGCACTCAATAGTAACTGAAGTGTTCTCTATACGGATACCTAGCCATTGTCAAATAACGGGAAAATAACTAGCAGATCAAGCTGCTAAAGAGGCCATCGAGAGTGGTTTACCAATCACAACAATGTCACATGATGACCAGTAAGCGTTGCTAAAACAAAAATTTGGTCCTGGCAACAAATGTGGAACAATGTAACAAGCTAAACAAAATAAAAAGTACTGTTAGTCTTGGAAATTATCAATTAGACAATCTAGATTTCCAAGATTAACCGGCTAGTGGTTAACGGTGTTAACAAGACTAAGAATTGGCCATACCCGTCTTACTCATGATTATTTGATGTCGCGAGACCAACCACCCAAGTGTCAAAACTGTGAAGAAATCTTAACTGTAAAACACTTACGAATAGACTGCCTTAGCTATAATAACAGCAAAAGAACCTTAAATATATCAAATTCAATAAATCAAATAGTAGGAAATCAAAAAGAGGCCATTGACAAACTATTTCAATTTTTACGAGTTAATAGCCTGACTAATAAAATTGAATTTTCATTATAAATATTATCTATCAAGGCGGGCATGACCCTAGTGGTTGATCGCTTTTATAAATTGTAAAAAATGTTAATTAATTGTTTTAATTATTACGGATTATTGTAATTATTATAGTTTTATAAACTGAGTCACTAACTTACAAGTTGTAGACTTCTGGACCCGAGGAGTATCGGGTACTCTGGGGGGGGGGACCAAACTTTTATGTTTCTATATGGCAATTTTATATATATATATACAATATATATATATTGTATATCATTGAATGTCTAGTATCTAATCTGTAGTTAACAACTTGAGGTACTAATTTGAGGCTAGTGTTTTAGGATAGATAAAAACCATTTACAATAGATACACCAATAGAAAGATCCGGAGCCTCCTGCCCTGGGGTCCTCCGAGTGCCCCAAGCCAGCGGGAATGGCTACAGGTAAAATACGCGTGAAAGACCAAAAAGAGAAGTACAAACTCCCAGTTGGCCATGGATGGCCTCAGCCCCTAAACTTCCTCCATTACATGTATCAACTTCTGCGTTGTTTTTACCCAGTGTCGAGTCCATCTCACAACACATTCTTGCAGCCGCAAACCATTCATAAGGGTGTTAATTACACTTTAATAAGCAATGTTTATTAATACAAATATTATAGTTTTACGTAATGTTATTATTACCTATCAAATTATGACGTTCGGAGTTGTTTTAAAAAGGTGACGTCTAGATCTCACAACACGTTCTAACTGCCGCACCACCTGACGGTTCTTCTTTACACTTAATTATACAATACTAATTGATATAATTAAGTAATACACTAATGCAATTATTATAGTTTTATACACTTTTTACCAGCTTATAATTATTGCCTTCCGAGTTGTGACTTGTTTTGACACCGATGCTCGTCTATCCACATGCCCTCAAGTTATCACGCACATTCTTGCCATCTTCTACTAACAACGTTGTTAATTACACTTTATTACAATGGTAATTGCACAAATTAATACAATTATTATAGTTTTACACTCAGTATTAATAATTATCAAATTATAATGAAGCCATCTCAGATGCTATTCACCAGTTCAGCCTAGATATCATTACAAATTCTAGCCGCTACGCTTACTCCATAATGAGTGTGTATTAATTTATTAAAATATATTACCCAATTTTCTCGTGAAGGGTGTAGAATTTAATAAATTCAAATACCCATTATATGTAAATTTCGAAAAATTCTTCTAATTTAAAACTATATATATATAGTGTATATAATATATATGTTTATATATATATATGTGTACTACAATATATAGATATATAGTGTATATAATACATATATGTATATATATGTACTACAATATATAGATATATAGTGTATATAATATGTATTTTAGTAGTTTAAGTTATATGTTAGAATTAAAAAAAAAAGGATCATGCCCAAAGCAAGTATTATTAACCAGAGGTAGGGCAGGGCAATAAATTCTCCCTAAGAATCTTTGTACATTAAAGTAATATAATGCGTGTAAAATTGTAATGAATATTGTATAATCAATTAAACAAAATTTATATGTATTTTTTAATCATGCTTAAGAGTTTATTCGGTTTTGCATCCGATCAGGTCTTCCTTAATTTATCTGTAAATTTATTATTTATTTTATTCATTTATGAAAAAAGCTACATCTGTTACAGAGGATTTTTGACATAATCTTCATTAATATCGACTATAATTTATTTTATTTAAATGAACCCCCTCCTTAGTCCTGTTGGCTTGTGTAACAGTGTATATCATGTATACTTGACAACCAGAAAAGATTAATGCCCGACATTACTAAATTTTGTCGTAACATATGCGGCTTGTTGCTTCCCTTGTTTTATGGTTAACGCATTAGGAAAATGAGTAGCATCAAATATTCTGTTCGTAATCCAGCATTATTCCCATCTTATCTCTCATCCACTGAGAGAACTGTACATAAAATTACAATGTAACACAATGAAATCGAGGATTGTTAGACAAACCGTAACTGTCTGAATCACGTGTGTGATGAGTGGAATAATTACAAGCTAGTTCTAAAATCAAAATTATATCATCAGTTATAAACCAATAGAACACATTTTTTTTAAATTATATTTAAGCAGATTCACCACTTCTTTTTATACTGGCATTTGGGAATAACAGAATAGAATGGAAATAAATCAGTAATTAATTAAGGTTTTTAGTTGAGATAAAAATGTCAATGGCACGAGCGGGATTCGAACCCAAGATCTTCGGCTTGATACGCCGCTGCTCTACTACTTGAGCTATCGTGACCTCGATCCACTCGGACACCAACTTCCCATCTCAACCGCATCTTTTGAATTTTCCCTCCTTTTTGCCATTTTTGGTTTTGGTTGAGATGGGAAGTTGGTGTCCGAGTGAATCGAGGTCACGATAGCTCAAGTGGTAGAGCAGCGGAGTATCAAGCCGAAGATCTTGGGTTCGAATCCTGCTCATGCCATTGACTTTTTCATCTCAACTAAAAACGTAAATTAATTGTAATATATTAATTGGTCAAGCGGACCACGAAATTAGTGAATTTAAATCAGTAATATTTACAGATCACTTTAAAGTTCTGTATATAAATCCTACACCGTTAATAATAACACAAATTCCATCGTTATTTCTATATCAATGCAGATTTGTATTGGCCCTTGCTGTTCAACTACTTTTTAATTTTCTCCTGAAGTAAGGTGTTTTTCCACATTTATGGAAAATAGGATTTATTATGCCGTTATATAAGTACGGAGAGAGGGATAATGTAAAAACTACCGACCACTGTCCGTTTTATCACACATTCTAAAAATATTTGAATCAATTATAATGCAATATATGTATATTTCCCAGTTCAGACAAATTATTCTCCCATCTCAGCATGGATTCACCACCCTAACTAATCTACTAATAATAGCAGAATGATATCATCTAAACAAATTTCTCAAAAACATTCGACATAGTTGACCATAAAACAATAATTTTAAAACATGAAGTATCAATCTTATCTTGGCTCCAAGTAGGAAAAATAGGAGAATCTGAGCCAATTAAATTTAATCTTCTGGAGTCCCACAAATTGCTCTCCCCCCCGTTCGATATTTTTATTAACGGTCTTCCTTCAGTTATATGTCATTCCATTCCTCTCCTTTTGCCTACGACCTAAAATAATTAAGAATAATTAAATTTTCAGACTCGTGAGTCCCCTTCTACGGAAATCTTTAGTAAAAGGGGAAAGATTTATTCGTTATGAAGGGAGACCAAAACATTTTTTTGACACACGGCCCTTATGCAGTGCAATAATAGAGATGGGTCATGCGTTGACTCCATACAGAGAGTGTGCAGGCCTGCAACCAGATTTAAAAAAGGTTCTCGGACATGGTAACGAGTTCCAGGGCCCCGTGTTCCGCTTTGTAGGGGAATTAAATTTGTTTTTATTGTACATAGCCTTCAAAATATGTATTTGTGTTTCTGTGATTTGTATGAGTGAGTGTATTTATTAAAGAAAATGGGGAGTGGCTGATGGTGGAATAGCATCCCCATCGCTCCTCGACCTGGCTTGAGTCGATGGCGGAATATTTATAAAAGTACCCCATCGACCCCAATTGGATTGGTTTGTTATTGTATGCAGGTCGATGGAGGAATATTGAGTACCAGTAAATAGAATGAATGCAATGTATGTAGGTGTATGTATTTATTTGTGTGAATGCGTATTGAATGTGCGTTGTTATGCATGCTCTCGGGGTTGTAATGACAAGCTGTCGGATGCCCCCACAAAAAAAAAAAAAAAAAAAAAAAAAAAAAAANATAATATTAATAATTAAAATAGAGCCGACTGCTTCAGTCTGACTTAAATTCACTTCATCTATGATCCATTGAAAAAATGTGATGCTAAATAATTTGGTAGATTCTTGGGGAGTAGTAAAAAAAATACACATTAATACTAAATGTTGAAAAATGCTACAAAATGAGTAACGAGCAAATTCTTGCGGCACATACAATTATAACATAAACACCTTCTATTTAGCAAAACAAATCATCACAATTAAACTTGGTGTAACCTTTAATTATAATTTATATTTTAATACACACATTGATAAAATAAAATCTGTAAGTTGGTAAGCGCTAGGCTTTATCTCACTTTATTGAAAAAATGTAGTTATTCCATGTCATTGTTAATATGATAAACATATTCTGCATCAACCTCCAAAAATCCTTTAAAAAAATAAAAAATGGTGAGACTTCACTTGAATATTGTTTTCCAGTCTGAGAATCACTGCACTGTTAATGCAAATCAGAAACATCAGAGAGAATCAAATATTTTTTTCTTTTTAATCGTTGCCATTAAGCTGGGAATAAATCTTTCCGGTTATAACCAGTTTCAATTATGGTTAAACTTAATCTCAATAAAACACGCAGATTAACCTTCGACATAGTTAGTAAACTCTTTTTAAAACCATTGATTCGTACATTCACTGTCTTCAAATTCTTAGCAATATTAACTTCTCCAATACTCCTTCTCAGTGTAGACAGCATAGGATATTCCGCAATATTAACTATGGCAAAAACTCACAGGTAGACAGAATAACGTGTTCCGCAAATGATGTCCCTCAAACCTTAAGACGATACGATTCCATTTTAACCAGTTTAAATTAAGCATTTAAAAAAATAAACCTTGTCATCTTAACAATGTAATTTTCCATTAAGCTTCCGAGAAGTGACTATTTTCAAAAAACGTTTCAACGTTTTTGCCATTGAATTCCAAAAGTAGCCAACTCAATTTCATTCACGTGTAAAACGATAGTATGACTTTAACTCGAAATGATTGTTATTAATGCCAGTTTGTAAACAGGGGTGGCGTGTCGGCAAATCGATTCCCTCCTTCTGCACTTGTGTGCTGGATCGAAAGAAACAAATGAGCTATTGCTGCGAAACTGGTGCAGGGTGTAGAATGGAACTGGATGATATATTTATATCTATGTTATACGGACAATATCGGTTCGAAGGAATTCAAATGAACGGGTAAATATCGGCTCTCAGTTTTGCGATAGAGGTTGTGAAATTCATAGTATGCAAATTATTTAATATCTAATTTTATATCTTTTTTTTTTTTTGCGTGTACTTTCGATGATTGTTCTTAAAACACACAATTACATTGGTTGGAGTTTTATTTTGGCAGATTGTTCTAACCCAGTTTTGGGATTTGTTGATTGTTCCACAATTTATCATTATTCTGTTCGGAAACCCTCGTTAATTTGATTAATTACAAAAGAAATTCAAAGTAAACGAATTTTTAAGATGCCAACTATGACACCGATTGCAAAATTTAAATTCAATATACATGTTGAATAATTTAAATTAAAATAAGCACAAGAAAAAGAATAAAGAGAAAGGGAAAATAAATCACTCAAAACAGAGAGAGAGAGAGAGAGAGAGAGAGAGAGAGAGAGAGTGATTTACAATTTACAAAATGGAAAAAAGAAGGATAGAAAGAGGGAAAGGAGGACATTTATTTATAACAACACAGAAAAGTCTACAAGAGAAGTCAACATTTACAGGGGGAACGTTAAAACTGCCCATGGTTTTTTACCCCAATCGCAATATTTATTAACAACAAAGAAATAAAAAAAGGAAAAAATATTAAAGACTTCGGAAGAGATAAAAGGGATAAAAAAGAGAGTTAGAGGAGGAAGAGAGAGAGAGAGAGAGAGTTGATGAGCATATCTACAGCCAGTCAAAAGACCTTACGCTAAATAAATTTCAGCCTGTTTAAGCAAAAACGAAATTCCTCGTAAAATGAGATTAGATAGAAAAGAGTGAGAGAAAGATAGAAAGACAAAGAGTGAAGCGGAGGCGGAGTGAGAAAGGAAGAGCGAGAAAGAGAGAAAGCGCAGCGTGAGAAAGGAGAGAGAGTGAGAGAGGAGGGAGAGAGGAGAGAGAGAACAGATGAGCAGGAGGGAGGGTGGAAGATAAAAAGAAAGAATGGAAAGTGAGAGAAAGAGTGACAGAAGGATAGAGAGTGAGAAGGAATGACATGGAGAGGGCATATAACGAGAGATTAAGAGATAAATGAGACTGAAGTAGAAAGAAAGAATGAGAGAGGGCGACAGAGAGACTGAGCAAGAGAGAGAATTGTAACCTCTGTTGTATATCATAAAGCTTATAAACCCGTTTTAATTTTACACTCTGATCCTCATCCCGATACCAGCAAATAAGTGAAAAACTGGCTTTTTTCAGTCCGCCAGTTCAATCGTCATATCATTATAACCACATCAAGTTATCTAAAATATCCATCATTCAGGATCAGCATACGCTGCGTAAAACAGGACAGAGACAATTCATAAATCCAGTTAGGCCAACATCAGGATATGAATTGAACATTGTCGGACAGAAGCGATCCATCAAAACATGACTTAGAGATTGATCTCCCGTCGTCACCCTTGCTTATGAATATAAACAAGGAAATCGGTCCATGCCAAAGCTATCTATTATAAAATATCAGCTGGACTTTTTTTTCAGGGCGACGCTACATTTACAACTGGCAGTACAATACCAGAACTAAAAATGAGATATAACAAACGGCCTGTCAGTCGTCTTGAAATATACCTAGTCATTTATAGAACAGGCGCTGGCTGCCAAAGTGATGTGACAATCAAAATGATATTAAGTAACAACGAGTAAAAATCTCTTCTGATCGAAAGACAATACGCTATAAAAACAATGTAATGTATATGCATGAGGGTAAAATGCGTCCAAATTCCCATTCCGTACCTGACGGTCATTCCTACATGACCACCCTTTCTAATAACTTATTTTCCTACCTTTAAATTTTCTTAACCTCCTTTCCCAACACTAATATTCTCTTTCTTTTCCTTCCTTGGCGTCCCAGATCTAGAAGAGGAGAGGGATGTCGGTCCACCTTAATGGCACCCCAGGGACCGACTGGGTGTGAGAGGATAGCTATCTCACCCTCTGAAACTGAAAACTACATAAATAAGGGTGTATTTACGGAAGGCCACCATACCGTTAAACCTGGACCGGGATCAACCACGGGTTCATTTCGTAGATCCTGTCGGAGTTAGTGAGGCACAACCCGACCAGAGGCAGAAGAAGACCTGATGCAGGATCGTCGTTCGTCCAAATGATGCTGCGGTAGGATCCCGCAGCCATGAGAAAAAGAATGAGTAGAGAGGTGATGAAAAATGAAGAAATTGTGCAGAAAAGAAAATTTGCAAAGTACTAGATAATAAATAAAAGAGAAGAAGACTCTAAAATTATGCATGCTGGTCAATAAACAATTAAGACAGGTTGTGAATGTAAAAAATAGAGTAGCCGGTACTCTAATTCTCTCAACGCCATAGTGCTTAAAGAAACAGTAAACCTTGCAAATATTTCTGTAAATACGACCCCCCAACAAATGCTCTACACCTTCTAGGACTGATCTCGGGACGAAATCTGCTGGTGTGTCCTGAGGAGAAAATCAAAGATGAGCTATAAGATCAAGGGGTCGTCGCCTGTTGCGCTGTTTTAGATGACTTCAGGCATACGGCTATGCGGAGTAGATCGGAATTGATATGCTCGTGAGGTTCTCCGGTATACGACGGCAACCCTGTCAACATGCATCATTTGTAAAGGACATCACCATACAAAGTCAAGCACATGTCCTGTTATATCCTAAGGGAGGAACGTGATATTTCAGTTCCAGGGTGGCACCGTTATTTCAGACACCCATCTGCGGGCACACATCCTACCTACACCCGTTGCTTTCCTGTCAATCAATGAGGTAGGGCTCATGGCGGGGTGCTATTTACATCAGTGAAGAAATTACAGATAACGTCCAGATGTAGCAGTACGCCTCAAGGTACCTAAAAAATGACAATATGTTCGACGTACTTACCAAATAAGATTTGGCGTAAGGACTAAATAAGCCGAATAATTAATGCACTACCCCACTCGATCCTCTTTCCCGGGACTTTAACGCTTACATCTTTTGGTTGAGCTCAGATTCAGCAAATAATCGAATAAACCAATAAATAGCCTTATCCTTAGAAAATATTATTCCCTAAAGGAAGACTTTAGTGATAGGTATCGAAAAATCTAATATCGATTTCTTGTAATTACCAACCAACTTGTTCGTGGTTAGGCGCATTAGGCTTCTATCCACAATCGAAACAATCTTGGAACTTGTTAGTAAATTACTGACTGTTCAGCAGGCAAGAGTTCAACTGCTCACTGTCAACCCGATCAGTCACTTATATATAATTAAATC